AAAACTAACTTAATACGATTCCGATGAGAGTGACGAAGACAACTTCGAAAAAAAGGAAAAAAAAAAAAAGAAAACATCGATAAAGATAAGATCGAAATAAAACAAAACAAATAAAACAAAAATCCCCAGCATATATAAAAACATCGAATAATAAGATCTAAATAAAAAGAAACGAAAAAACAAACAAAAAACAAAAAAAAAACCTCCAACATAAATAAAACATCGAAATAAGATCGAAGTGAAAAACAAAAAAACAAACAAAACAAAAAAATCCCCAACATATATAAAACATCGAAACAATAAGATCGAAAAAAAACACAAACAAAAATCCCCAGTATATAAGACATCGAAATAATAAGATCGAAATAAAAAAAACAAACAAAACAAAACAAAACAAATCCCCAACATATATAAAACATCGAAATAATAAGATCGAAGTGAAAAAAAAACCCTCCAACATAAATAAAACATCAAAACAATAAGATCTAAAATAAAAAACAAAAAAAACAAACAAACAAAACAAAAAACCTCCAACATATAAAACATCGAAACAATAAGATCGAAGTGAAAAAAAAAAAAAAAAAAAAAAAAAATCCCAGCATATATAAAACATCGAAACAATAAGATCGAAGCGAAAACAAAAAACAAACAAACAAAACAAACAAATCCCCAGCATATTAAACATCAAAATAATAAGATCGAAGTGAAAACAAAAAAACAAAACAAAACAAATCCCCAGCATATATAAAACATCAAATAATAAGATCGAAGTGAAAAAAAAACCTCAACATATAAACATCAAAACAAAAAAGATCGAAATAAAAAAAACAAACAAAACAAAACCCCCCAACATATACAAAACACCGAAACACGACCTCCTCAGCCGAGCCGAGACTCCGACAAAGAAACCCCGATAATCAAATTTTCAAGACAAGCTTTCACCCTTGTTCATTACAACCGCCAACCCCCCCTCCCCCCCCCTCTGTTCTATCAGTCCCTGGGGGGGTAGGGGGTAGGGGTCGTTGGGGGTCACCTCTTCACCCCCCCCCCTCGTCTCGTTCTATCAGTCCCTGGGGGGGAGGGGGTAGGGGGGTCGTTGGGGGTCCCCTCTTACTCCCCCGACCCTCCCCCTCTTGTTCTATCAGTCCCTGGGGGAGGGGGGAGGGGGGTCACCTCTTACCCCCCACCCCCTCCCGTTCGTTCTATCATCCCTGGGGGGAGGGGAGGGGGGGGTCGTTGGGGGCACCTCTTACCCTCCCCCCCCCTCTCGTTCTATTCATCCCCTGGGGGCAAGGGGGGGGGTCATTGGGGTCACCTCTTACCCCCTCCCCCCCCCCTCTCGTTCTTATCAGTCCTGGGGGGAAGGGGGGGGCTCCGGGGGGTCACCTCTTACCCCCCCCTGACCCCCTCCCCCCTCTGTTCTATCAGTCCCTGGGGGGGGCAGGGAGGGGGGTCGTTGGGGGTCACCTCTTACCCCCCCCTGACCCCCTCCCCCTCTTGTTCTATCAGTCCCTGGGGCGGGGGGGTAGGGGGTCGTTGGGGGTCACCTCTTACCCCCCCCCCCCCTCCCCTCTTGTTCTATCAGTCCCTGGGGGAGGGGAGGGGGGGCGTTGGGGGTCACCTCTTACCCCCCCCTGACCCCCTCCCCCTCTTGTTCTATCAGTCCCTGGGGGGGAGGGGGGGCAGGGGTCGTTGGGGGTCACCTCTTACTACCCCCCCCTCGCTATCAGTCCCTGGGAGGGGGTAGGGGGGTCGTTGGGGTCACCTCTTACCCCCCCCCAACCACCACCCCTCCCCCCCCCCCCCTGGGTAGACGAATCTTCTCTCTCAACTCAAAAGGCGTTCCTCTATCAGTCTCTGGGGGGGGTAGGGGGGGAAGGGGTCGTTGGGGGGTCACCTCTTACCCCCCACCACCACCCCTGACCCCCCCCCCCCCGCCCCCCCCCCGCTGGGTAGACGATTCTTCTCTCAACTCAAAAGGTGTTTCATCTCCTCCTTGTGGCTTCTGAAAGGGCGATGGTTTATTATTGTCTTCTCTCTTCTTCTGGTTCGGTTTCCTTCTTTTTTCTTCTTTCTTTCTTTCTTTGGCTTGTTTCCTGCTCTGTTTGTATGCGCTCCTGGATTGTTCTTTGTTGCGTAAGTTTTAAGCGGTTTGTGCTTTTCGTTGTCGTGATTGCATTGTTCTTTTTATCTGTATCTCTCTCTTTTCTCCTTTTTTTTCTCTCTCTATCTTTCTTTCTTCTTTCTCTCTCTATCTTTCTTTCTCTTCTCTTTCTCTCTCTATCTTTCTTTCTCTTCTCTCTCTTCTTCTTTCTTTCTCTTTCTCCCCTTCCTCTCTCTTTCTCCCCTTCCTCTCTCTCTCTCTCTCTCCCTTTCCTCTTTTTTGCTTGCCTCTCCTTCTCCTTATATCCGTATGAAATAATCTCAAAATGGTGAGGATAACATTAAAATCAATAATAGGATCGAAAGACATGCATATTTTAAATATAAATATATATGTATATATTTATATATATATATTATATATTTTTTTCTTCTTTTTCTTTTCTTTT